AAAACCAAATAGCTGGAGGTTAGATATTAAGCATGAAACATCTTCTAGTGAGTGTCTACTGGTAAACCAAGAAAAGCCCTTTGGGTCAAAATTGGGCCTATCCCGGGGTGATCATTGATTTTCCTTATAATTATGTACGTATATAGTAAATACTTGAAAAATCTTCTTTTGAAAAACACAAGAGCTAGAGCTTAATTATGAAGCATGAAACAATGGTTGTCTACCAAGTTTGTTCAAATAATAGCCTTTGGGTCAAAATTGGCCCAGCATAAGGGGTCATTAATTTTCCCTAGATGTATAAAGTAAAAATCTAAAAAATCTTTTTTAAAAAAGGACAAATAGCTACAGCTTAGATAATAAGCATAAAACATCTTCTAGTGGGTGTCTACCAATTTTGTTCAAATAATAGCCCGAGAGTCAAATGGGGCCCAGCCCCAGGGGGTCATTGATTTTCCTTATTTGTATATAGTAAAGACTTAAAAAATCTTCTCTTAAAAAAATCCAATTAGCTTGAGCTTAGATATTAAGCATGAAACATCTTCTAGTGGGTGTCTAGCAAGTTTGTTCAAATAAAAGCCCTGGGGTGAAAATTGGCCCCGCCCCAGGGGATCATTGTTTTTCCCTTTATGTATATAGTAAAAACTTTAACCTTATAGCTAGAGCTAAGATATTTAGCATTAAACATCTAAGGTGTGTTTACCAAGTTTGTTCAAAGAAGGGCCCTCGGGTTATAATTGGCCCCGCCAAGGGGTCATGGATTTTCCTATATGTGTAAAGTAAAAACTTAAAAAATCTTCTTTTAAAAAAACCCTAAAGAGCTAGAGTTAAGATACTAAGCATGTAATATTTTCTAATGAGTGTCTACTAAGTTTGTTCAAATAAAAATCCTTAGGTCAAAATTGGCCTTAGGGCTTTTTGTGTCGCGATCAGGTGAGCGATCACGGGCCATCATGGCCCTTTTGTTCAATCAATTGTCATCAAACTTGGTCAAGATGCTTGTTTAAGTAATTGCTTTGATGTTTTTGATGGGTCAGGTAAGAGATATAGGGCCATCATATTGGCCCTCTTGGCCCACATTTATGCCCTTTTTTCGATTAAAAATTCTTGGTTAAGTTTTTGCGAGTAACCTTCTGTCTCCATAACTACTGACTTGAATGGACTTAATCTTCACACACTTCTTTGTGATTATCTCACATGATTGGCACAATACCCATCCATATCTTTGATTTGCTTATTTGCATATTGATGCCCCTTTTTTGACATAGAAATTTTTTGTTAAGTTTTTGCATGATAGCTTGTATCTCAATAACTACAGAAGGATATGGATTGAAACTTCACACGCTTCTTCTCGACGATTATGTAACATTATTGGCACTACACCAATAACTCTGATTTGGCTTAGGCACACTTTAAGTATTCATATAGATAAGCAGTAATATACTCAATGAAATACCCTAATGTGACAACTCTTTCGAATAGTCAAGCATTGCTGTCCTCCAAAAGCTTGTGTTTATGGCTCTTCTGCAATGAATGGTCCACTCTCGTAGGCGAAAGCTATGACCAGTGTGATTATGCTTTAGAAAGAAATGTAGATATATTCCATATATTTCATTGACAAATTTTCTTCTACTCATTCAGAGGTCCAATTTTACATAAAGACATAGCATCTAAAAATGTTGTCCTGGATAAATATCTAAATGCACGCCTTATCGACTTTGGTTTGGCCCGAGAAAAAGACGACAAATCAACAATCCATGGAGGAAGAAGACCTTATGACCATCCTGAAATAGGGCATGGGAAAGGTGCCAAAGAATACCATGACTATCATAGCTTTGGAGTCAGTAAGTTTCATATTTTGTATAATGCAACCTATCTTTAACTGACTGGGTATATTGTATATTAACATATTTGACACAGTTCCATGATTATACAAGTTTATACATTTCCTTTTATGTATTTAGTATAAAAACAATAAAAACTTCTGTTATTATACTATGGAGAGGCTTTATCTTTGATATTTGGTATGAAACATTGTCTGGTGGACCTCTACAATTTTTTTTTTAAAATAATAGCCCTCGGATCAAAATTTGGCCTGTTATGGGAACATAGATTTTTCTTATATGTATTTAGTAAAGTCTTCTCTAAATCTACAAGAGCTTAAGCTCAGTTTCCATAGCAACCAGTAACTTCATAGCTAACATAAACTTTCCATAGCAACGAGTTAATATACAATTGAATTTCTTAGCAAGGAAACCTTTAGTATTGTATCACAACATGTGACTTCTTATGGCAATAACAACCAGTAATATTTCTTAATGTGCTTAATTTCAGATGTAAATATACTTTGTGAAATCAGTTTAAGAATTAGATGTTATATCTGCTTTCGTTTATAGTTAACAGTTATTTGTTCTTTGTATTAATATTCAGGTGAGCGATATTGGGGCCATCATGGCCCTCTTGTTTTTGTAAGTTAAAATATGAACATGTGGTCAAAATCTGCAAAGTTTACATATTTAAAACTTTGAACTTCAACATTTTTGTGCTGCATTACACTGATCTGGAAAAAAAACTATGAAGAAAGATAAACGTTCAGCTGATGTGTATTGGTAAACCATTTATAAAGATACTTGTTTAGGTCTGATTCGGATAATTCATCAAGGGAGCAAAGAATGTTCTTTCACCCAAATGAACTGCGTTCAGAGTAAAAAAGACACAAACATGACAAGTATAACTTATCATTCACAATAGATAAAACATTCACTTAGGAAAAAAGATTATATTTACACTTGATTAGTTTCCGCATGTGTAATGTACAAGTATTTATCAACTGCTAATATTTATGTTTGATACTATGTGTTTTTCTTTTTCCTACAAGTTATTCGAGAAATGTTGACAAGTCTTGAACCTGAAGGAGTAAATGGTCATTTCCTGATGAATATGGAAAAGGATCAGATTGAAGAAAGAATTGATGTAAGTAATTAGTCTAGTTGTAACCCTTCAAAAAGTTTTGGCTAGGGGGAGTGGATGGTAACTTACACTTTCCAGTGACTGCCATGAACTGGCTCATTCAAACCAAGCTTGCAATATGTACAATCTTGCTGTGTTGGATTGTCTTTGGGGATTATGTTAAGAATGACCTTTTCGAAGGTTTTGCCGATTAATCAGAAAACTTTAACGTTGGTCTTTTTTTATTTCTCAATGGATTGTAGTGATCTTTTTGAAAGACCTTTAAGTTTACCAGACTGAACTTGATCTTCACTCATGAATGACGTTGGACTTTAAGGTAAATTCTTTGTTAATTTTGGATGATTTGTCATACAACTGGCTTTTATTGGTTATTTGTTTATGACTTGTCTCCTTACTTCGACACAGCAATGGTTAGGAAATGTCCATCAAAATGGTCAAATTTAAACTAGATCCTGATCAATATTTGACCACTCGGCGATTAGGGCTCTATTTAAAGTCAACGTTATTTAACTTTTAATTTCCAAACTTAATTTAGTTTTAATGTATTATAACTTATGAAATATTGTTCTCAAAAATTTGAGAAATTTAGTACCTAAACAGTTGCACTGTTACTTATTGATTAGAATTTAAGCAATTATAATTGAGATTTAACAGTGTGTGGATCTTCATTTTTTTGTATTATATTGTCCTTATAATTTTATGAGTGCTTTTGATAGATTTACCAGGTACAAGAATACATAGTAGCTTTATGCGAATTGTTGTCCCCCGCCTTTTCGAAGAAAAAAAGGGGATATAGTAATAGGCTCCGTCCGTCCGTCACACTTTTGTGTCCGGTCAATAACTTTGTCATTTATCAAAGGAATCTGAAATAACTTGGCACAAATGTTTGTTATAATAAGACGATGTGTCATGCGCAACAACCAGACCCTACCTCCAAGATCAAGGTCACACTTGCTCATTCAAGGGCAACATTGTCCATTTGATGGTATACATGTATGTCCTGTCTGGTCTATAACTTTCTTGTCTTTGAAGGGATTTTGTAAAAACTTGCCACAGTTGTTCACAATAATGAGAGGATGTGTCATGCACAACAACCGGTCACCTAGCTCTAAGGTCAAGGTCACACTTGGAGGTCAAAGAATAGCATAGTCTGTTACAGGGTATATTTTGTATCCGGTCCATAACATTTTCATAGATCAAAGGATTTTGTAAACACTTGCCACAAATAGTCACTATAATAATGTCATGCGCAACACCTGCATCCCTACCTCCAAGTTCAAGGTCACACTTAGAGGTCAAAAGTTAACATAGTCTGTTTAAGGGCATATTTTGTGTCTGATCTAGAACTTCTTCGGTTTTTGAAATAACAAGGCACAAACAGTCACAATAATAAGACAATATGTCAGGTACAACACCTGCACACCTACCTCCAAGGTCAAGGTCACACGTAGAGGTCAAAGGTTAACAGTCTGCTATATTGTATATTTTGTGTCCCGTCCATAACTTCTTCATAGATCAAGGGATTTTAAAAATACTTGCAACAGTCACAATGATAAGATGATATGTCATGCGTAACACATGTGTCCCTACCTCCAAAGTCAAGGTCACACATAGAGGTCAAAGATTTACATAGTCTGTTAAAGGGTATATTTTGTGTTTAGTCCATAACCTTTTCATAGATAAAGGGATTTTAAAAATACTTTGCACAAATAATCACAATAATAAGATGATATGTCAGGCGCAAAACATGGGTCCCTACCTCCATAGTCACACTTAGAGGTCAAAGATTGACATAGTCTGTTATACGGTATATTTTGTGTCCGATCTATAACTTCTTCCTAGTTCAAGGGATTTTGAAAATACTTGGCACAAATAGTAATATTAATAAGACGATATGTCATGCACAACATCTGCACCCCTACCTCCAAGGTCAAGGTCACACTTATAGGTCAAAGTCTCACATGATAGATTTTTAAATTCTGTGTTTCATTTTACTAGTATTTCTTTAATAAATTTATTGTTGCATTTGCAGATCTAGCATTGATCATAATTTTGGACTGAAAGTCCTGAAACCATGCCTCATTCTTTTGAAATAGCACAATTTTATGCTTCATATAAAATGTCCCCAAGCAGGGGACGTTGGTACTGTTACAAATTCTTGTTAATCTATGATATTACTGTATTATTATGCCCAGGCACTAAAACCACATTTAAATAAGAGGAGCTTGTAGTTTGATTTTTATTTAAGTGCCAGTCCTTACTTTAGAAATTTGGCTGTTAAAATGGCTGATATTTTTAATTTTGCTGTTATGATTCCTTGTTTTTTATCTGTTGTCAGAGTTTATTTTCTCATTTCTTTCTAACCATATTGTTATTTGTGTTTTTTAAGTTCAAACATGTATATTAAAACATATATAATTTACTTATCATTGATATTAGTTACTTTTAATTGCAGAAAAATGTTTGGATCTGTGAGGAAGTCATTCAAACACTCTATGACTTGTCTTACAATTGTTTGATATGTGCATGGACTATTAAAGATTTGGAAGGAAATGTAATTGAAATGTCTAAAGAACTACAAGTAAGTATTGCATATATTTCAAATGATTTTTCTGAAAGGTTGAATGTGAATGTGATATTAAAGGTAACCTTTAGATTATGTAGGTGTAAGAATTAGGTCCTCAGTAATGTTTATTAGCTCACCAAAACCAAAGGTTCAGGGTGAATTATTAGTATCAACGGGGGATATTCCTGCGTCCATTGTCATGCGTCTTCTCTGAAACTGATAGGCAGATTTACCTCAAATTTGGTCTTTAGCATCCTTGTCACAGTCACACTTAAATTTGATTATGCCATTTTAATTGGCCCCTTATAGGAGTCAATAGACCTAAAAATAGAAAATCCTTTAAACATCTTCTTCTTTTAAATTAAATGATGGATGGTCAACAAAATATGTGACATTGTCTGTAGCATTCTTAGGTAGTCTTGTATCAAATTTGCACATAACCCTGCACAATGAAGTTGTAAGAGGGGTATACTGGAATCAGTGGCTTAGTAACCTCAGATTTGGCAGGGAGGTTGTCCTTGACCTCTAAATGGCCACTGTTGATTCTGACAAAGTGGCGTATGGGGATATTCACGTCATGACAGTGGCAGTTCTAGTTTTAATTTGATTGGCCATTTTTAGGGGTCTCTAGAGCTGTAAATAGAAAAAACATTTAGACATCTTCAAAAGAACTAATTGATGGATGATCATTTGTAGCATTCTTAGGTAGAGTTTTATCAAGTTTGCTCATATTTATTTGATTGGCCCCTTTTTTCGGGCCACTAAAGCGAAAAATAGAAATACCTTTAAAAGTCTTCTTCTTCAGAACTAATTAATGGATGATCACCAAATTTTGTCTGTAGCATTCTTAAGTAGTCTCTTATCAAGTTTGCTCATATAAATTTTATGGGCCCCTTTTTGGGGCCCCTTAAGCTAAAAATAGAAAAACCTTTGAACATCATCTCCTACTGAAATAACGGATGGATGATCACAAATCTTTGTCTGTAGTATTCTTAGGTAGTCTTTTATCAAACTTGCTTATATTAATTTAAATTAAAGCTAAAGATAGAAATACCTATTAATGTCTGATTCTACAGAACTAATTGATAATCACCAAATTTTGTCTGTAGCATTTGTTATGTATGCAACATATTACATATATAAAATTTATATCTGACCAGTTGGTATTTCCAATATTATCATTGTTCTATTTTTAGAACATAAACTACATGTATGTACTAGAACTTTCTTATCTGTTGTAGAAAACTCATGCATTATATTTAGATAGAAATTTCCGGAATGATTTTTATTGTTGAAGTTGCTAGATTATGATTTATGTAGAAAATGGAAGACTATTCTAGAAACTTCTTAGCTTAATATAAATAGGAGACACTTTTTCTTTCGTATTACATTTTGAAGTCATCAGTGATCTTTAAGTCATCAGTTACCTTTTAAGACATCAATATATTTGGAGTATTTTCCAACTTGGATATTAAGTGATTTATTGGAGCTTGGATTATTTTAAAATAGTTAAAATTATTCTTGTGGATTTTATTGTGGGAATTTATTCTAAAGTGTTCTTGGATTTTACTTGGATTTAACTGTGCTATTCAAAAAAGGATCATTCTAGGATCAGGCTCAGGGCCTTTTCACTAGTTTTGGGGAAGGCGCCCTAGCCCTTTTTGTGGGGAAAAAATGCGCGGTTTTCATACTTTTGGGGAAAAAATCATATTTTCCACTGGCAGTTTAACCATTATTACTATAAATAAAGACTTATTTAAATCACACATTTGGGGGAAATATCATAATATATTTGCATATTTTCCTCAAAACACACTTATTTCAGGAGCTTTCTGCCCAACATAAGTAATTATTAAAGGGATTTTTTTTTAAGATCAATTTATTGCCACTTTATATTTGCCCAAGAATACATTGACTCATCTTTCCTAATTATAGAAAATTTACGTAGGATTCTTGATGTGATTCAGAGGGAACATTATTATCAGTTCCAACCGTATCACTATAACTGGAACTGTTGTGCTAGAATCGCTATTTCCCACACTTGGGCATGTTGTGCTACTCGGACACATGAACTTGCGAGTGGATACATGTATTGGATTCTCTTAGACTTACAGGAAGGTCAACAATTTGTCCAATTTTTATGCCCCCGCCATGTAATGGCCGGGGCATATAGTGTTACCCTGTTCCGTCCTTCCGTCCTTCCGTCATTCCGTCCTTCCGTCATTCCGTCCTTCCGTCATTCCGTCCTTCCGTCATTCCGTCATTCTGTCATTCCGTCATCATCAGTTTCCGTTCATTATCTTAGTAACGGTTGCACACATTCAACTCAAATTTGACATATGGATATGTCGTGAGAAAATACAGGTCAAGTTCGAATTTGGTCATGGTTCGATGATTTTTGGCAGAGTTATGCCCCTTTTACTTTGAAAATAATATGAAATTTTCAGTTTCCGTTCATTATCTCCCCAACAGTACAACACATTCAACTCAAATTTGACATATGGATATGTCGTGAGAAAATACAGGTCAAGTTCGAATTTGGTCATGGTTCAATGATTTTTGGCAGAGTTATGCCCCTTTCACTTTGGAAATAATATGAAATTTTCAGTTTCCGGTCATTATCTCCCCAATGGTACAACACTTTTAACTCAAACTTGACATATGGATACGTCACAGGAATGCGCAGGTCAAGTTCAAAGTTGGTTATGGTTCAATGATTTTTGGCAGAGTTATGCCCCTTTCACTTTGAAAATAATATGAAATTTTCAGTTTCTGTTTATTATCTCCCCAATGGTACAACACATTCAACTCAAATTTGACATATGGATATATTTTTGGAATGCCCAGGCCAAGTTGGAATTTGGTCATGGTTCAATGATTTTTGGCAGAGTAATGCCCCTTTCACTTTGAAAATAATATGAAATTTACAGTTTCTGTTCATTATCTACCCAACAGTGTTACATATTCAACTCAAATATGGATATGTCAAAGGAATGGGCAGGTCAAGTTGGAATTTGGTCATGGTTCGATGACTTTTTGGCAGAGTTATGTCCCTTTCACTTTGAGAATAATATAGATACATCTTAGGAATAAGCAGTTTAAGTTTGAATTTGGTTGTGGTTCAATGATTTGGACAAACTTATCTTTCTTGAATGTTGTAAAAATTTTGAACTTTCAGTTTCAGCACTGAAATGTATGTAGCCATTATTTTGGCTACAAATATGAAATATGCTATTTTCAAAAGGTTTAGACTGAATAATTTCAGTGCCTTGAACATTGTATGAAAATGGTTTGTGTTAACATTAAAAAGTTTTAAGGGCTTTGAACTTAAAATGAAAAAAATTATTTGTGCAAACAAATTTGGAACTAAATATTATAACATCTGAAATTTTGGCTGCATGCGGGGGCATCCGTGGCATGATGACACATTTCTAGTTCATAAACAATTACAAATGTCACTCAATCCTCTGGTTCTGTGACATTGTTTACATTTGCGACATCGTAAATCGGTCGCCGTATTGTCGTAAAAAAATCATGTGTGCAGTGGGGTTTTCCCATGTTGCTTTCAGTCTGAGGCTGTGAGTAAACATCAATTGTATTGAATCAAGGTATCCCTCTAGCGGGTAATTGAATAATTAGCTTTCATTGGACAAAAACAATGATTTTTTTATGCAAGAAAGTTTGTTTACAAGTTTTTTTCTTTGATCTGAAAGGGAAAATCTTCGCAAGTAGGGGAATTTTAGACTGTTTTTTGGGGAAAAAAGGTAGTATGTTAGCTTGGGGAAGTAGCCAAATACCGGCTACAGCAAAGAAGGGTAAAAAGGCCCAGAGGCTAAACATTTGAATTTTACATTTTTATTTGGACTTCAGGTATTTGTACACATAATTTGTTATTTTGATTTTTTATAATAATTTTTCTGTAATAAATTTGTTATTGTTACAAGTTTGTTGCTGTTTTTTTTCTAGTTACGCCTGGCTCGTAACCGAAATTGGGGGCTCGTCCGGGATAGAATATTTATTTTGGCTACATTATTGGAAATTATAACCGTTTATTTTACATTTTATTATTACCGTATTTACTCATCTGAGTTAATATCATAGTTGTTCTATTAAGTGTGTCTTTCAATTTTGAAATTTTTGAAACACACCACTTTTAAGTTTAAAACCAGCAGCAAACAGTCATGTCTTTTGATTTAGAAAAGTTTGTAGCTGAACCTTCCCAGGAGGTATTAGATTTGGCTAAGAAAACTGATTTGCTTGATCTTGCAAAAATATAATATATCAGAAATTAAATCTGTCATGCGTAAACAAGAAATTAAAAATCTTTTGATTCATTATTTT